TTATTTTGGATTTATTTCATGGACCAGTCAGTTGACCTTCAGATCACATTTCTCACCATGAGAATCCTTGGTTACGATTGGTTACTGTGTCATTTTAGTGTGCTATTTTTGTGACTGTATCAAGGACGTCTCTATAGAGTATAAATAAACGCAATCTGAGTGCTTGGTTTCATTGTGTGCTGTCTGGGTGTTTGTAGAATACACTTTCTACACTATATCAAGACTTCTTGCTGGTACGATTTGGTCAATGGATCACAATAGCCTACCTGGACACTGGTTCATTGTTTTGTTCTCGTTATTCGACTACAGTGAACTCGTAATAGTTTAAACATACCTAGAGACGAGCAAAACAAACTCAAAGAACGAAACACCACCGTAATCATCCACCTGAGCTAGAAATTTTCCCCACCATCTGAGAATATTTTCAATGTATATTTCTTTAAACCAATCACTCAGAATACTTCTACCAAAAAATAGTGGTACTTGTAAAGTTTTCTTTTACGGACCTCAATTCAGTTATCAAGGCTAAGGAAAAAATAAATCTTTATTCAAAAGAATTTTTTTAAAAAAAAAATGAAAATCAGTTATCTACTCAAAATACTTTTCTCTTTCAAAAATTTTTATCGCTAGGTACAAACTATCAAACCAATTTGAGAATCATTTTTGTTCATTCATGTGGAAATTTTCTTGTTTTTGTTTGTTTGAATTCATTTCTAATGGCGGTCTCTTACTTACTTTGGGAGAGAAAAAATCAGATTCCAGTGGAGGAGGAAATCAGGAAGAGGCGGTGGAAGTGGATAGGACACACTCTACGAAAAGCACCTAACTGCGTCACGGGACAAGCCCTCACATGGAACCCTCAAGGCAAAAGGAAAAGAGGAAGGCAAAAAAACACACTACGCCGAGAAATAGAGAAAGATATGAGAGGAATGAACAAACATTGGTCAGAACTGGAGTAGGAAGCCCAGGACAGAGTTGGTTGGAGAAAACTGGTGGGCGGCCTATGCTCCATTGGGGGTAACAGGCGTAAGTAAGTTGTGTAACAGTTTATAATAGGGGTTTTTTCAAGGATTCACTTCAAGTGTACACTTTTTAAACTAATGGCACAAATGAAACTATAAAAATAATAGTTGTATATAGATCTGATTTTGAAAAAATAGACGAATTCAAATGTTAATGACAAAATCCTCTCACTGAAATTTACTGTCTATGAAGAACAATAGGTGTCCTTGTATCAAAATCTTTTGTCTCAAATATAAGCTTGAATACTAGTTTATTTTCTCTAAGACAGATCGTCTATGAAGATTGTTAGGATACTTACTTACGTACTTACTTAGGCCTGTTACCCCGCATTGAGCATAGGCCGCCCACCAGTTTTCTCCAACCAACTCTGTCCTAGGCTTCCCTCTCCAGTTCTGTCCCATGTTTGTTCATTCCTCTCATATCTTTCTCTATTTCTCGGCGTAGTGTGTTTTTTGGCCTTCCTCTTTTCCTTTTGCCTTGAGGGTTCCATGTGAGGGCTTGTCTCGTGACGCAGTTAGGTGCTTTCCGTAGTGTGTGTCCTATCCACTTCCACCGATCAAAATACCAAAGAAAGGCGACCTGAGCAAGTGTGAGAACTACAGAGGCATCACTCTTCCCTCAATACCAGGCAAAGTCTTCAACAGAGTATTGTTAAACAGAATGAAGGACGTCGTAGACGCCCAACTTCGAGATCAACAGGCCGGATATCGTAAGGATCGATCGTGTACTGACCAAATTGCTACATTACGGATCATTACGGAACAAGTA